TGCTAGCCAAAATTATTATATTGCATGCAAAAGTTGGCATAGTGCAAGCCACAGAGCTTATTTTAGAAATGTAGATTGATTTGATTAAATTAGCTAGGTTTTCTGTTGACTTATATCTCATTTTTTAGGGTCCAGATTTTTTAACTAGTACAAATATATAATTAGTATTTAAATGGTTCTACAATTAATTTTACTCTTCTTAATTGCCAAACCAAAAAAAAATAAAACAAAACAGACAAATCTTTATATTTCAAGACTAAAAAGGGAGTCCTCTTTAGTCAATTCTAATTAAGCTCCTAATATTAAAATTGATAACAATCAAGGCTGGCAGCAAGTTCTTATTGTATTAAAAAAACACAAAAAACAGACTCAAATTAACCTAGACTGGGAGGAATTTTATTATCGAGTAAACTTTGTTCAGGTAATATATAATCAATTTAAGTGAGCCAATGAACATTTGCAAAAAGAAGAGATTAATAAGCTAATTAAGTTTTTAATACCTAGTTATGATCCTTAAAATAGTTCTTTTAATGAATTTTCATATTGAAAAAGTTTTATAATCATATCATTTTATTCATAGAACATTCTTAAATTACAAGAAAATAATATTCTGATTAATTTTCATTTTAATTAATTTATTGGATTAGGACTTACAGTTAGTGCTTTTAGGTCTGGTCTGGGTCTGGTCTGGTCTAAGTCTGGTCTGGGATCAGACCAAACTCAGACTCTTAATTTTGCTAATTTCAAACTTTAGACCAGACTCATTCTCAATTGTGAGTTCGGTCTGGGTCTGGTCCAAAGTAGAGTTCTTACCCAGGTTAGAAAATACTGACCCAGGCGAGTCAGAGTTTGATCCAGGTTGTAACTCAGATTAACGGATCAAATAGAAATTAATAGGTTTTTGAACTAATCTTTAAAAGTTGATGTAAGGCTTATAATTAGAGCTGTTAGAATCTGTACTCTGAATATTTAAACTGGAATGTTTCAGATTTTATGTTAAAAAATTTTTAGACCTTGCTCACAATTTGAGTTCGTTCATTTTCTACTTTTGAAATACATGCTTGTCAAGAAGCTAACCCAAATGGACCAGATGACATTAGTAAAAGTTTTATTATTTATGCAGTATATAACTTATAATATCTTCTTATATTGAGCAAATTGTATAATATACAGTAGTATTATAGTAGGTTTTTGCGTGTTTTGAATTCTGACCTATTTGATCTAGGTTAGAGTAATTTTCGACCTGTGACCCATTGAGTTGGGTGATCCATACGAGTCAATTAACCCAAGTAATAACTCTAGTCCGAAGTCTGCAGACTAATCTAAGTTCAAAAATATTTATATGTATTTTTTAGTGCTAAACAAATTTACTTAGTGTATAAAGTTAGAATAAATTAGTAAATTTTTGAGAATCATAAGATTTTATAAAATTTTATTAATAAAATTTTACAAAATCTTATGATTCTCAAAAATTTACTAATTGATTCTAACTTAATGCACTAATTAAATTTGTTTAACACATAAAAATACATTAAATCAGCAGAGTTATTTTTATACTATATAAAATTTGAGTAAAGATGCTTAATTTTGGATTTTTTGATCAAAAATCTAAAATTAAGCATCTTTGCTCCAAATTTTAAGTACAATAAAAATAACTCTGCCAGTTTAATATATTTTTAAATGCTGAACAAATTTAATTAGTAAATTAAGTTAGAATTAATTAGTGTTTTGAAAA